CCCCCAGCACTGCCAAGGCCACCCCGACCATGTCCCCAGGTGCCACATCCACAGGGTGTTAAATCCCCCCAGGGACTGTGTTTCCACCCCTGTGCCAGGGCTGCACAGCCCTTTCCAGGAGGAATTTTCCCCATATCCAACTAAACCTCCCCTGGTACAGCCGGAGGCTGTTCCCTCTCCTCCTGTCCCTTGTTCCCTGGGAGCAGAGCCCGAATCCCCCCCGGCTCCCCCCTCCTGTCAGGGGGTTGCAGAGCCAGAAGGTCCCCCCTGAGCCTCCTTTTCTCCAGGCTGAGCCCCCCCCGCTCCAGGTGGGGCCGATCCCGGCACTAGGACCCGGCTGAGCCGCTGGATTCTGCGCCCTCCCGGATCTCCGCGGCACCGCAGCCCCCGCGGGTCCCTCCGGCGCAATCCCGGCTCCGGGAGGGATCCGGGATGGGATCGATGCTCCGTAGCCACAGCAACGCCCGGACACGCCAAGGACGCGGCGGGAGGTCAGTGCATTCCAGCTCATCCCCATCCAACACCCCCCCCCGGCATTCCCGGCCAATTCCAGGTGGGATCGTTCCCGGGAAAGCCGATTTCACCGCGTCCCTGCTCCGCTCCATCGCTCGGGGAATGGGAACGGCGGAACCGCCCGTGCCCTGCGGGACTGTGCTCGGCTGCGGGAGCGGCAGCCCCTGGATTTCCTCCCTCACGAACCCCTCGGGATCCTGCTCCCAGCAATTCCCGGCCCTAAACTTCTCTCCCTCGCTCCTTAAGGAATTCCTGGCCATCCTCCTCCTTCAGAGGGCAGGTAAAGGAGGGCGTGAGAGGGGGAGAATACCCAGGGATTCCATAATCCATAAACCCCATTCCATCAACATCCCAATCCCTGGAACACCCCAATCCATGGAACACCCCAATCCATGGAACACCCTAATCCCTGGAGCACCCCAATCCCTGGAATAGCTGGCTGCAGAGCCAATGGGGCCGATCCAGCCTGGGGGCACTGCCCCCCAAGCTCCTGCACCCCTGCCATCCCCACCACCCGTGTCCTGCCCCGCTGTTTTCCGTTCTTCAGGCATTTTTCCAGCAAACGGGGCAGACTGGAAAGCTCGGGAATGGGTGCAAAACCCCCCGAAATTCTCCTCTGCCGCATCGGGGTGGAATCTGGGGCTCTGGATCACCAGTCACACGTGAGCAGCCCCAACAGCTGCTCAGACTGAAATCCATTAAAATTCCCTGTTTTCCCCCTCAGACACACCAAAGGAATCTCTGATCCCCGTGTTTAATCCCGCAGCCCTGAGGGAGGCGACAGCCCCCGCCCGGCTCCTTCCCGGCTCCCTCGGGAACAGAGGCAGGAAGGAATGAAGGAATCGCTCCAAGGTCACCTGGGCAGGTGCTCCAACCCCCGACACGGAGCCTCCAGCAGCCCCGGGAAGGCGCCGTGGGAGAGCCCCAGGCTCCGGGAATTTCCCATGGACACCGGCACACCCGGAATTTTGGGTGACGGACACGGAAACCCGAAAATGCTGCGTGGAACCGGGGCCTGCCAGGACCCCACGGGCCGGGAACGGCGTGGGAAGGTCCGTCCCCACCCAACCAGTCCGGATCCCGGGATTCCTGGAGCCCCTGGAGCGAGGGATGGCACCAGCAGAGCCCCCGGGACACGGTGACCCCTCAGAGCCCACACAGGTACGGCCTGGACCCCCTTAATTAACCGGGGTTTCTTAATTTAATTAAGGTAATTAATTAACAGCTCATCCATCTCATTGTTTATTCACACACTGTGCTAACAGGGGTGGGCTGTGCTCCGATAGAATTCCCGGCTGGAAAGGGCTCTGCCTTCCCTGCATCCAGGACTGGGAATATCCAGCCCTACCAACCCTAACAAGCTCCCCCCAATTAGTAATTAATTAACAGAGAATTGATCCCATTAATTAATTATTCACAAATTGTACTAAGCAGGGCTGACAGAATTCCCAGCAGCCAGAATTCCCTGCTGGAAGGTGCTGGGCCCCCTCTGGATGCAGGACCGGGAATTCCCGGCCGTGCCAACCCCGCTCTGTCCCTGCCAGCCCTAACGAGCTCCCCCAATTAGCCCGGGCACTAATTACTGGCTCATTCCCACCTCGGCTCCACATCAAACCTTCCCATTCCCGCACTGCAATCCCGAGGGACTGGGGGGGTTTTCCTTCACCCCAAACTCCTCCAGACCCCCCTCGGCCCCCCTGGGAGCCCCTGACATTCCATACGGAGCAGAAGGTCCTGGCACCGCGCTGGGAAAAGGGGAATTGCAGCGGGAACAGCCCCGGGATCTGCAGCCACAGGCAGTGCCTGGGAAAAGGGGGGCCCTGAGGGGGAACCCTGGGAATGAAGGGCCTGGGGGGGCCCAGGGAATGGGGATCTTTAGGGGTCCCTGGGCAATGGGGGG